AAAAAAAAAAAAAAAAAGTTGTAAATCCAAGCAGGAACATGAAGTCAATACTTGCCAAAAAAAATCTAATTTTTTCGTTGAGCAACTACACAAAAGAAGGAAAGTATACGTTCACACTTTTGGGATGAACGTGAATAATATCTAGGTTTCCACCAAAGCTAGAGCTGCTGGCAAAAGGAGGAAGGGCAAAAGAAATATTTAGCATGCCTCTGAAATCAGAAAGAGTTACATGGAGTTATTAAATGCTCGAGAAAGTGCATGACCTGATGTGTGTCAAGGCATATAGTTACAATAAAGTGTTTATTGTTCAAAGGAAGGTTTTTAAACGACTAATATGAACTGAAGTCCACAACTAAAACTAAAATAAATAATGGAGCTAAAAAATAGGATCCTCCAAAAACTTAAAATCTACCTCGTCAAAAAGAAACTCAGCTCAATTGTTAATATGGGTTTTAAAAGCCATCAAAAGTAGCTAAAAAGAATCCCTCCATTTTCCTATTACCCGTTTCCAAATTCCTCAACTTATCTGTCAAACATTCATGAACCGAATACTTTGCTCCCGGACCAGAGTGTGTAATTGAATAATGACATAAATAAAATATCAAACCAAAGGCTGAAGTTATTTCAATAGTTACACTTTCTGGGGAAAAACTCAACAGGTAAAAATATTGAGTGATTAGATGCAGCAGGATGATGCCAGAACATGTTTTTTCATTAGAACTGTGATTGAATATAAACTAGTACAACACTCGAATACACGAGTGCTTGTTAAAAAATTATTCTTAAATTTTAAAATTAATGAGAAAACTATACTAAATTTAGTTTACTTTTTTACAAAAAAAATATATTACTATATATTTTAGAATAATATGTGTTACTCATGACTTACATGTGTTATATTATATTAGTTTTTATTTTATAACTTATACCATATAACTACTTGAAATATAACTATATTAGTTGATAAATTATTTTATTTTTCTAATTAATATTAAAAATAATTTTATTATTGTTAGAAAGATAAATATAAATTATTTTTTTATACATACAATATGGATGTTAAATCGAAGCTCATCAAAAGAAGATTTATTTGATATATTACATATGTAAAACTGATAAAAATACAAAAGTTATTAACTTTTAAAATATATATACAATTCAATAGTTATAATAAGGAATGATATTAAAATGCAATTAATACATGTAACATGAACATAAATAATCAACATATTTATGGTAATCCGAACCTAATTATTTTTTGTTTGGAATTAAATTAAAATTTACCCAAGCCTAATAACGAAGCATGTAATTTCGCCACATATGATTCCGAAGCATTAGAAACAGCCACGTAGGCTCAGCGCATTCTGGAATTAATTTTTGTACTTTTTTTCTTCTCTATCTTATCAACACAGTTATAATAAACATATCAATCAAAACTACACATTTTCCAACTAAATTTACTTTCATCTATATTTTCATCAATTCAAAAACTTAAAAAATCAATAAATTCTTCCACCTAAAAGTTTTTTTTTTTCCCCCTTTTTTTCATCACTTACTGAGACAATTTTTCACCAAATAATCCATATCCAATAGCACCAATTATGCTAGATAAAAACCTAGGTATAAGACCACAAACACGCAGCACAACCCGAGTCAAGGCGATTTGTCAAATCGGGGGCAAATCGAGTGCGGTCCCACACAAGTGAACCGCACCATAAGAGGGTTAGCCCAAATGAAGCCCAAGTGGGTTCCATCCCAAAACCAATTGGTAGTAGGAGGAGTAGCCCACTAGGCTTATAAGTTAGACCTATTTACCCTATCAAATCAATGTGGGACAACTCAAAAGTGACATTCCAACACGATTACAGCACAGCAAACTCATAGCAGTTGAAATCCAATGGACACGCGATTCAGCAATTTAATAGCAAGAGCTATGAAATATTGAAGCTTGATACAGTAATTTCACCTGAGGGGTGACGTCATGGCAGCCTCGCCTCTTTCCGGGTATGGTAACAGTCTTCTGTGCCCATTTAGGGACAGTCCCGACGGGCGGCGGTGATGCTGCCGCCATGTCGCTCAGACGGCTGCTGATTGAGAGCCGACGCAGCTGATTTTGGCGGCTGATTCCTGTTTCCGATCCTCTCACAGTAATATTTTTGCTGTGGACAAGAAATTGCAGTCTGGTGGTGGTGATGGGTCGTCCCGTCAGCGTGATTTGCGGCGGTGGTATTAGCGCCGCCTGCATCTTTCCTCTTTTTATTTGCTACAAATAACTGAAAATTGGATTTTGGGAACTAAGTGCACAAATATGGTCTGTGCTATATATTCTGATTTTTTTTTTTTCAACAATTTATTAACACATGAGAAAAAATCAAATAATGTTTGGTTATCAAATCTCTCATGTTGTAATCTATATATTAATTCAAAACGTGCAGAGCTTAAGTGGCAGACTCGTTTTAAAATCATACGTATCAAAATATCATGTTTTGTAATCTTTATTAAAAAATGGATTGATTAAAATATGATTATTATTACTGATAATAAAA